AAGATGACCTACATACCCTTGTATTTCTTCATATTTATTTCGCACATTTTATTTATTTATTTATTTACGTCAAAAACAATTAAAAACTGTGTGTGACGTGCTGTGGGAGAAGTTAATTTGAAGTTACATTTATGTCCAGAAGCCAAGAGCATTGATGTGCAGAGAGCAAAGAGCGGAGATGTGGTTGACAAATACACTCTGGGCGTATGGTTGAAAAACCTTGATGGCTTTTAGTCATCGTATTTTATCATATATGCTTTAATTTTAAACATCGATGTTTTGTTTGTCGCATCTCTGCTTCGCAGGTGGGCTAATGAAAGGGGCTACATTCGTCTTTGAGAGCACGTAAATATGTGAAGATCGCTATTATACGAAAGGTGCAATAGATTCTAGAAATAGCCGTTTACATCACTATCGACATTGTAGAAGTGAATTTTCCTGATGACTCGTTTTAAGATCGCTAACAAAGTGTGGGCTGATACTAACCGTGAGAGGGTGTCCTTAAATTTCGTAATGCAAATTTGGAATTTGGAGCACCCCCTTTCCCACCAATCAGGCGCACACGTACCCCCTAAATAATGACGTAACGCTTGCGTCAAGACACCCACATTTACAAATAAACTATAAAGTCTCAACGAGTTGTATCAATCATTTCTCATGTTATTTCAGTAGTGTACATACCTTTTGCGGCTCTCACACGCTATCGATCTTTATAAATGTCGCTAATGAAAGAGAATTTTATAAATTGCACTTTGTGCTGTGGTCGACTGCGTGCCTTTAAAAGTGCCGCCGGAAATAAGTTCCGGCGCCACTCAAGAGAGGGCAACGATAGCAGACGCCGCGGCGCCGTCACGCTCGACCCGGCTCCGGAGCGGACGGGCGCACCCGTACCTGACAGCTGGCCAGCGGACCCGCAGCCCGAGCCGGCTATAAGAGCCGCGCCCGGCGAGCAGAGGGACAGTCAAGCGCCTGCCCGCATCGAGAAGTAATAAGTGTATGGTGAACAAGTGCGACGACAGGGCTACGGATACGGACCCCTCTCTCGTGAAACAGTGAACGGTACATCGGCTGCGGTTTTGGACATCTCCCCGGGAAGTTGTGACTTGGACATTCTTCGGTACATCTTCTGGAAAATTGTTTGGATCGGGCTTACATTTGTCTACCTCTGTACTGATTGTGGTTGGAATAAATCCATTTTTAGAAATTGCTTTCTTTTGGATACTACACTTTGATTTTTAAAATATGAAGGATTTGTTTGAAAATGCGCATCTAAATATTCATGTCAAATGCAAACCGCAGCACTCAGTCAGCTGTATCATTTAATAACTCCTAAACGAAGCGTTCGAGGATCATAAAAACTAACATTTCGAGGCCAAAATCCTCAAAGAAATGTTTCTTACGCATTCTAATCAATTTTTGCAGGTTTACCTCTTATTGATGCTATCAACGCCACTTAGATTCCCGGCTTAGATTTCTGTATCTTAAGATATTCACGCTTTGTGTACACTCTGGTTTGCGCAGACTGACAAGGTTTATTTGCATAGTTATTAATTCAAGCTTCTCTCTCGCAGCAACAACAAAAATACTGTTAATAGTTACTTCATACCGATGAAGATTATTTCTTAAGGGTATATAGTGAAATCATTCATTTAACGGTTTGTCGAGGTCTACAAGTGCTGTGTCCCTAATTGTGGAGGAATGTGAGTATACAGTGAAGAATGAAAACGTGTCTTGTTAGGTTTGGTTTGTGTTTTACCTGCACCAGTATTTTCGTTTTCAGCAGTGATTTGGTGAAATTTTTAAAATAGAGACTATTAAAATATAACTTATAAAACTTTTAAAATATTTTTGTTACTATCACGAAAAACGAAAAGCTGTCAAAAAAATTGAATAATTACTTCAAGTATTTTTAAGGAAGTGTTGTGAATTGTTCCAAGAAATCTCTCAATAATACCGAATAAATCTTTAGTGAAAATTTCTTTTCCACATCAATTGCATTGTTTTTAATTTTTATTTCATATTCTTTTAGTACGAATACAATGGAGGTTATCTTTATACATTTTTAAACAAATAAGTTTTGTTAACAACTTTCCCTATTAAAATAGAAGGAGAGGGAAGACTGTGGGGTTTAATATGTGAGAGTTTTCGCACGGGCACGCGGAGGTAGTAGGAGAAAACTTGTGCTATGGCACAACACAAAGAACGTACTTTTTAAATTAGCTTAAGTATAGTAGCTTGAAATAAATGAACAACAAAAAATCGAACAAGCTAGCCTAAAATACTACGTGAATTAGTTTTAATAGGCAACCAAATTAAAAATTGTAGAATGAATGGCGCAATTCATTCGGCAACTGCCAACGATCACATTCAGACGCACGATTTAAATGTTGACGATATCTGGAAATCTGTACATCAATGCCCAGCTATAAATTCATATTGTAAATAGCACACCATTTTATCTTAAACTTAAGGTGTCGTTTCGCTAAGATATTCATCGTAACATCGTTTGAACAACATTTCCATGTACCGAAGTGAAGTTTAAGCCTACTTGAGAGCTTCTAATGGTAATAAATGGTATTTAATACTCAAAGTGAAAATATTAGTTTTATTATTTTTTGCCCCCTTCTCTTGAGGTACGTAAGAACGAAGAAGATAATTCAATACTTTTTAGTATATATATAATTTTTCAATTTTCGCATCCCTGCTAGTTGGCGCACTCCCTTCCAAAATCCCCTCTGAACCTCATAACAAATCCAGGAATGTTAAATAATATTGGGAAGAGTAGGGTTGTACTTGCCTGATTCTGTATTTTCGCATGGAAAACTTTACTTGGCTTTCTCAAGAGAAAAAGGTTTTTTCTAATATTTTCGCGATATCAAGGAAAGCGAAAAGGTAACTGTCAAGGACGATTTTATAATAACTTCAAACGTTTTAAGGAAGTGTGAATTGTGCGAAGAATATATTTATATAATACTGAATACGCCGTTATTGAAAATTCCAACATCCAATTCCAACATTCCAATTTTTCCAACATCAATTGCATTGTTTTTATTTTGTTTGATATTCTGTAAGTACGAAATTACATTTATACATTTTTTAATAAAGAAACACGTTTCATTAACACTTTTCCTTTATAATGGGAAGGATAGAGAAAAGGTGGGGGTTAACATTCGAGAGTTTTCGCACAGTGTACGCTAGTTTTATAAGGATTATAATTAGGGGCGGATTTTGATGACCAAAACATTTCCGAAAATGATCAATAAAATGCTTTTTAAATGCTCTAAATCAAAAAACAATGACGTAGAAAATTTAATCAAAACCACTTCAGATGAACAACTTACGCTGTTGGGTATGTTATTAATGTAATCGTGGCTTCTTCCTAATGTTAATGTGAACTCACCTTGCAAACCTTTGGTTTGGACTGTTCTTTGAAAGGAAATCTCTGCCTTTATTTATCGCAAAATCGGCCGAACTGATAATGGCGCCGATAGGCGTTACAGAAACCTTAGATTACGATTACACAACGGCTGATATTACAATATATGAGCGAAAAAATCAGGTATGCTTTTCCGGAATTCTGTGGTATCTCAAAAATATTGTTTGAAGCAAGAACCATTAAAATGATACCAAAATTCATGAAATCAACAAAAAATAAATTAAAAGTAGCGTAAAATGTCAAAAACTGATTTAATAGTAGAAATCGACGAAGAATGCAAAAAATGACTTATAAAAATGGGTCATTTCGTTTTGTTTTATCATAAAATGAATGTCTATACAATACGGCATTGTACTAAAGTGAGAAGAAAAAATGACATTACATTAAAATCCGCCCCCTAATTATAATTAAAAGTCAGAATGAGTTGTCGATGTGGACTGCTGCTAACTATAAAACTGGGGCAATTTTTGAATGACAGAAGGATATTTTTTCGTAATGTACGAGAGCTCTAGGGCGCTAAATGCCCAAAATTATGATGGAGCATCGATAGACGAAGAACAGAGAGACACATCGCTAGCTGGTGACCCTCGCGTCAAAGGCGCATTTGTGCAAGAATGGATTCTCAGAACGCGCAAATTTACGATAATTAATAAGGGTGTATTACTGGATCTAATTTACCATTTTCCGTTGCACAAAATAAACGAAATGGCTGTCTCCCTCCACTCCGCAGCGCCGCCGAAATGCGTCAGCCCCTTCACACTAAACCCTCGTCCAACACCACTGAGCGTGCGAAAGGAAGGATGCCTGAGTCAACAGTCGGATGCCGCATGGCAATATACATATGAGATATGCCTTTCAATATTCAGTGCTATCATCTATCAAAGTATCAGTACTGATCGTAAGATGAGTGACAGTGTTAGAATAAGAAGATTAAGTTTCACCAGACACAAGTTTAAATTTGGCGGCATGTGACGTAGGCTTTAGAAGATTGCAATTGAAACCACACTCAATCCTCGTCCAACACCACTGAGCGTGGGGATGGGGTTACTCCATGAGTGTAAATTACGAATTAGCCGTGTTATGACCGAAGTCATCCGTTTAACGTCATTTGTGCAACTGTATGTAAGCTATGTGGCAAATGTGCGAATTATCTAGCAAATTCACGTATTAGCCTTCTTCCAGGAAATTGTCGTAACCTAAAAAAAATAAGATTTTTTGGTATGTTCATCACTGAATAACTTCATTTTTAATATTTACTGATTAAAAAAGCGTATTATGTTACTAGATAGAACGGATGACAGTTCCTGTTAATATAGTAAGTCCAAAAAATCCAGAAACGCCTATTCTCAAAACTGCTTTTCCTATGTTTTGACTATGTTATTTCGGACTTTATACGCAATATGTCGGTTTAGCACGCTTATCAGCATAGCTGGGCAGCTGTTTTTACGCATTTTTTTTGCGTATCAGCATTATACATTTTTAAGATAATCAAACTTAATTTTGTGACACATCTTTCCTGTGACGTATCTGATATTTGACATATACGCGACAAAACAGTGCTCGGTTTTTCAGTTTACTTTTATAGAGGAGTCACTGTAAAAAGGGACCACTTTGGCAGGTCGGGAAACAAAGAACGTCATGCAGGGCGATGCCATTTCAAGAGATAGTGATGAACCCATTTACAAATGAGCATCTGCGAACGAAAGCTTAGCTGAATTGAACGTAAAGACATATCCTGCAGTTTTGATGCCAATATTCGCCAAACAGTACCCGCCAATGCGATCCTTTCTTACAGCAGTGACTTCTCCCACTCAGGGAATATGGGGATGCGATCTGTGTTTTACGGATTAAACAAGGTAGACCAATTAAGGTGTCTAATCCTACTATTTGTTTACGTTTCCCATATTACGATGTACATTCTTTGATAATTACTAATTTTTCTCTTACAACAACCAGAAAAATAATTCACAAAAGTACATTGTGAATATATAATATATACACAAATTGAAAAACGTGACGTACGTTGTAGCACGTGACCATTGCGATTTCCAGTCTTTTTTCTGAAAGGTTATCAAAGGAGGTATTGGCGAAGCTTTGGAAGGGGGCGGGGTAAGGAAGCGCCAATCAAACGTCCGCGATGCAACATCGTCGGCCGAAACCTCGCATCTGGCACAGAGCACCCGACGAGAGTTCGACGACCTTCGTTACGAAGCGAAATCGTCGAAGGTATGTTTCTCAGCCTGTCGCATCCACAGCGTTGACAGACGCCTACCAGAAAGCGTATGCAAAAGACGAAACAGGGAGATATATTCGTGGAATAGAAATATTTGTTTTTCAGATCCGAAAAACTTGGGGATGCGACTCATCACTTGCATCCGTTGAACCTACGCCAATGTCTTAAGGGCACAATGCAAACATAAACATAAGTATGATGTTAACATAAAAGTTATGACCCATAAGCGGCCTCATTCACAATGCGTTCGCATAAGCATATAACACGTAAGACGTTATCTTAAAAGCTTGCAAGATTGAAGCTTCTGTGCTTATGCTTAAGTAAGACATAAGAAATGAATTAATCCCAGTACGTTAACTCAAAATCGAGAATCGCAATATGAGCGAAGTCGATAGACGAACTAACGCCATATGGGCCATGAACGTAGTCGATACCTTGAAATCGATTCTCACATCCAATAGTAAACTAGAATGTCTCACTGCCAATACAAACCCTTATTTTGCTTGTGTTTATGTTAGACATTGTGAATACTTCAGTCTATCATTTATGTTAATATTTATGTCTAGCGCTATGCTTATGCCTAGGTTTTCATTGTGAGTGGGCCTTTATAGGCGGTAATCTTAGTGCACCTGTCTGGCAACGGCGTAGACGCGCCCGCGCTCGTCGGCCACCGCCAAGTAGTCCGGGGCGCCGCCGGCGAGCGGCGCTGGCGGCGGGTGCAGCCGCGTCCAGCGCATGCGCCGCAGGTCTAACGCAGGGACGTCGTGGGGCAGCACGAGAGGGCCGGTGACGGCGCGCCCGCCCAGCACCAGCATTCGTCCCCGCGACACGCACGCGGCGTGGCGGCAGCGCACGTCCGGCACGGCGCCCTCCACGCGCACGCGACTCCACGCACGCGCGCGCACGTCCCACCGGAACACGCACGCCGCCTCCGCACGCGCCGGGCCCTGCGCACGGCACGCTTCTTCTTTCGTTGCTTCATTAGTCATTCACTCATTTACTCTTTAACTCCAACGGTGGCAGGATTTTGACAGCTAGGTCGAATTCAGTCGCTTCTGGTGGAGAATTCTAGCAGCCAGCCGCTCTGATCGGTAGTTCTCTGTGATTTCTCCGATCAAAACCAGACGAATTCCGGAGCAGTTCCCGAACAAACGGGCCACAGACCGCGCGATCTTTCCTCCCTCTTCTTTGCCCTATCCTCTCCCCTTACGTACAGACACTTACATGCACTGCACTACCACACATGTCGGGAGACCGGTCGGTCGGTGGGTGTCATTAAAAGGAAAATGTATATTCCTAAGATGTGAGATATTTTTCGTTATCTGGGGGTTGTGCATCTTAAACTCGAGCCACCACTGCATGACACTTAGAGCTTATTTCACTCGAGCTCAGGTTGCACAACACCCAGCGAATGGAAAAATATCGAGTGACTGGAGTTTACTACCTAAAGCTTAGAGCTTCTCCCGGCATGGGCGGTGCTCGCACCAGGGGGAATCTCTCCACCTCTCGAAGAAAACACATGTACTACACTTACGGAACAAATAACCATAACAGTTGACCGGCCCGGAAAAACTAATCAATTATTTATTCATATTATCAAGTGTGTCAACAGCTATGGTCATGATTTCCGTAAGTGCAGTGCATATTTTATCCCGGAGGGTGGCGGTGTTCCTCCACCGCTGGCGAGATGCGGCGCCAATGTCTATGTCGGCTTGCGGGGTTTCCCACATCCATGTATCACCCACCAGCTGCGCGCCGCCCCAGGCGGGACAAGCCTACGCTTCCCACATGTCCGTCTACTGTAGTACCATGCAGTGGCGGCGCGAGTGTAAGTTTCACGGACCGACGAATTAAATTATGTAAGTAATGGTTCAAAATATACTTTTATTTACTTTCAATTTATTTGAATTGCTTACATTTTTATTATATATTCGTATTTTGAATTTTGGAAATTATATTTCCGTCATTCGATGAGGGTGCAACTTCCAGTCTGTTGGGGCACCAGCCACAACTGGTGTCATGCACTCTAGTATGCACTACTCCAGAGTGCATGACACCAATAACGTTAGTGCATGTAAGTATCAGTGAGTGTAAATAAGGAGTGAGGATAGGGCAAGAAAGAGAAAGAAAAGATCGTGCACGATCCGTGACCCGTTTTATAGCGTACTACTCCGGCATTCGCCTGGTGTTGGTCGGAGAAACCAGGGAAAACTATCGGTCAGAGCAGCCGGCCGCTGAAATTCTTCTCTAGACAGCGCATGGACTTGTTCTAGCAAAATTCGAAAATCCTGCCCTGCCCGCGTTGAAACACGAGCCTCTCTGTCAGAATCCCTGCAGTGACATCAGTTGATGCCTTGAGCCACCTCTGCCAATCAGGCATTAATCATAGTCATCCTGCTTCACCTGACTCAACCTGATTTGGTTGGGCAGCGTAAACAAGTGCATTCTTTACGTCCTTATCAAATAAATTATGGATTATCAGTGTTCGTGGCCTGGGTAATCTCAGATTCAATTACCGTGAATTCTCGCAAGTCTATGTACAAAATAAGATTTGATAAGATGTAAAATGTCGAGTTTTGCACAAAATATTCAAATACACATTGTTGACATCTATGAAGATTCTGAGATATTTATGAAGTAGTATTTTTTTCAATAAGGATCGATATAAATTTTCGAATTTTGGTTTTTATAGCTATTTAAATTGGTTGACGATGCGGTATGTCTTCTGAGTCACCTGAATTAATTTTCCGACATAAAGCACTGCAACTGACTATAAGGCTTAATATTCCATTACGCATTGTTGTGAGATCCTTCCTCTGACAAAAGAATCGCAAAACATGACTTGCAAAAGGTCTATACTTTTTCTGTTGGTAAAAATGCTGAAATGAGCACAGCTTCATTAAAAGCTACCTAGATCTTTTTAAGATATAATTAGTAACTCATTGTAACCCAAGTTGAAAACCTCATTTTTAGAAATCATCGTCACACAAAAGTAATCTATTATTAACAAAGATCTTTTTCGTCAATGTCATCTTATGCTTTCTTGTTAATTAAATGCAAAATATACGTCACCTTTTAAAATGACTGTATAAAGTGTTTTATATTTTGTCTTCGTGATGGCAGCCTAATGTGTTCTCCATTATTTAGTGTTTCGTGAGCGATGACTACTATGCACATTTATCCGGTAAGTGTAGTTCCGGAAGGTGGCAATGATCCGCCCCCTCCATATCCGGTTTTCAGGGCTTCTCTCGCCGGGTGTCTCCCACGAGCGTGACACCGCCTCAGGGGAACACGCTCTACGCTCCCCACACGCGAGACAGAGTAGTGAATGTCAGTGTAAAGAGAGAGGAAAGGACGAAAACGAGGAAAGGAAGACCTCGCGCCATCCATGACTCGTTTGTTAATTTACGGCTCCGACATTCTCCAGAAATTGCCGGGAAAAAACACGGAAAACTACCGGTCAGAGAAGTGGATTGGCAGAATTCTCCTCTAGACAGCTGAATGCGAACTATCTAGCTGGCCACGAAAATCCTACTTCAGCCGGGTCTCGAACTCTAAAACCTCGACAGCGACGGCGCAATGGCACTGGGCATGCTGCCGCTGCGCCACAGCAGCTGGAGATTGGTTATTAGATTAAAAATGTAATGCATCCACAATTTGGATTAAATTATTTTAATGGGAGTATGGTGAACGTTATTTGTAAAAAGTACCGTAAGTTATTTTTGACAAAACACTACATGTAGGGTTAGTAACGATGTGTTAATAAAACACTACACCTACGGTGAATAACAATGTATTATCAGTTAATAAAAGAATATTATCGCTCAGTTGGAAAGGCAAACCTCAGTTACGCCTCCCCACACAAAAATGGCGCCTTCAAAGGCGACCGCCGAGTGCCCGATGCGCCGCCGCGGCACTTCCCGGAACTGCTCGCTTCCCTCGGGCGCCGGCGGCAGCGCCTCCGACTCCCCGCTCCTGCACACGTATACACACACGCACACACCTATTAGGCAGTTTGAATCAGATATATACAGGTGGGCCATTTTAATCTATCGGAGCAAATATCTCGAAAACTACACATCGGGTAAAAAAATAAATAAAAATAATTGTTTGTTTTGGCAAGGGACATCCAATGATACCAAACACCATCCCCTACCCACACACCCCCGGGGGTAGGGAGGGGGTAAAACATCTTAAATTGTAATTCCTATTTTTTATTGCAGATTTGGATTCACCAGAAAAATTACGACAATCTATGATTAAAGTAATTTTGGCTGACAGATGGCGTTGTAATCAACAAAAATTAATTGGTTAAAAATCATAAAAATGGGGATATTTTGAGAATACATAATATCAGAAAAATAAAAGTAAGTGTAATACATAACGATATTTTCAAAATTGGTATCCTGGGGAATCATTATGGGGCAAAAGGAGGCAAGAAAATTGAGACTTTCATGAAAACATTAAAAAAAATATACACGCTGAATTATTTTTAAGGTGAGCTTTCGCATAAAAAACGTTGGGCAGACTCGAAGTGGTTTTATGTTAACGTGCGGGCTGAAGATCTGAGCCTCGTCCTCAACTTGAACGCGCGCAGCGAAGCATCGCTTTTCGCGGGAAGTGCGTCGGCCGCGCCGAGAGTGACTCATTCTCGGAATCGACTGTTGAACAAATCGGATCACAAACTGCATTTCTACATAATTTTCTTCAGCGGTCCTTTCGGAATACTTTAAAAGTGCCCGCTCACTCGAGGGCAACGCGTCATGCAAACTGAGCGCTCATTGGTTGCAGTGCGTAGAGCCATTCTTGTGAACGCGTGGTGAATATACATGGCTTCCGGAGCACCGATTTTTGCTCATTCTGCGCAACACCAGTTTGTGTTACGAACCACTTGACCACAGCATGAACACTTTATTTGAAAAATCACACCAGACGCTGGCCGCCATGTTGCATGGAAGTATCGAGAAACCATTTTGAAAGTGGTACCGAGTGACAAATTTCTACGGTAACCAACTTAAAATAACACGACGAAGGTGTGTAAGGTGCAATATTTAAAAGAAATGCTTCATAAATCTGTTTCAATGTCTTGTAACGAGCTGAAATGTGGAATATGGATGCATTTAAAATTCCCGCTAATATTGTGACGCAACGTGAGATCTGAAGCTCATTGGCTGAAGTTGGATATGATAAGCACGTGACCCCTCCCCTGAGTACATGCAGCGTGACGCACCTGGTGTCGAACACAAAGACCTCCATGGGGGGCAGGGGGCTGCCTAGCGCCCGCAGCTGATCCCCGCGCCGCGGCACGTAGCCGCCGAACGTAAACACGAGAGGCCCCACCGCGGCCGACGCGTGCCCGAAGCGGGGCGGTCCCCCCAACGCCACGTCCTGCCACATTGGCTCGCTCGTTCACGCCCGGGTGGGCGGCCAACTAAGCGTTGGGGCTCGCAACCCTCGTGGTGAGTGCTGTCATCTGTGGATTGGCAGCACGAGTTCTGCCACATCGGCTCGCTCACTCAAGCTCTCAGCCGATTAATATACGTACTTAATCTCACTACCCGCGCTATTTTGGTTGAAACCAATTATGTTTTAATTTTTATTTATAGATTAGAATTTTTTTGAGTGGCTGTTTTTTCTCTAAATGTAAATAATGTAGTGTAATTATTTTTTTTAAATGACACATTATTTTATTGTATTATATTTTCATCCTAGGCAGGATATCCTAAAAGTTATTGTCAATTTATTACATCAAGAGGACGATACATAGCATTTGATCTCACTGTTTTGGACCATTTTCATTCCTCGAAACGTCATAGCTCCATCTCCCTCTCCACCACCTCTGACCACCGCATAGTCTGATGTAGTAATATTGCCACTCGTTCGAGCGCAGCACTGTGGCGGAGCTCAGCAATGTAAAACGTACAGATTAACTCATTAGTGGGAATGGGAACACAATTATCCAACGAAAGCTTCAATATAAAATATTAAGTCACTACAGATCTCCCAATTGGATTACCGGGTCCCAGTTGATCGCTGTCAATTTGGTGAACATATCACTCGGAGTATACAAGTACATTGGACAATTTATGTTTTCTGTCGGCAAAAAATTGAACCAGGGAGATATTGTTTATCTTGATAAATTGCCTGTCTGAAATGTTTCCCCATCTACCAGTGGAATTATATAAGACTTGTAATGTCATTTGCTAATCTACTTTTTTAATGTACGAGGTACCTACACTAATTTGAGCGTAATTGCACTGGGGAAGTTGTATCAACAATAGACAGCATATATAACCTGTATTTAGCGCCTTGAGTTTCGTAGGAGTTCATAATGGTGAGTTAAAAATTCAGATTATGTCTGGAATATTGTTTTACAATCCCTTTTGTTATGATTACTAGTGTACAGTGAATAATCAATTGAATTGAATTCTTTATTAGATATTACAAAATTTATTTTCTCCTCCAACTTTTAGAGGTTCCGTTTCTGTGGAGACTTAGATTGCCCAGATTGGATTCTTGCAGAAATTAACACCTTGGCAAGAATGGTTTGTATCCCTACTTTTTCTGAGAAGCCTTTAAAAATTACACTTGTATAATGTATTGATATTTTTTCTTTTTTTTTCTTTTTTGGTTTACTGGTCCAAATAAAATTGACAAATTCATCTTCTTATTATTCTTCAGTAGATAACATTTTGAAATACTTAAAAAATTAATTAATGAGTGTTT